TACTCATTAGAAAATTAGTATTTAATTTGGCTCAAAACGGATAGTTATGTATTAAAATGACCGTTTTTTTTTATAATATGTCTAAATTTTTCTCTCATCTATATAGATCTGTCATTTTATATTAGGGGCCTTAATACATTTAGACATATCCTTTTAGATTATGATTTTCTTAAAAGAAAACTACAACTAATAATTTTCGGACCACAATAGATCAACTATGATTCAATCAATTACAGATTTTGGTAAAAAAAACTGTTGCTAAAGTACTAAGATTTCTATTCATTATTTTTACATAAAAAACTTGGTACGTACAATATAGGATTATGTAAAGCATTCAATTCATTCATCCGTAACCGGTGATGTGAATGATCATCGTCTATAGTAGGTGATGTGAATGATCTAACATTCACAAATCATGTTGGTGAAGTTTGTCAAAGATTCTTATACACTTAACAGCGCCTATAGTAGTTGCAACTCTTGTCTTGTCACTTTCCATTCGACGTTTGAATATTCAATGTTGTGTTATGGGATAAAGTTTTCGCTAATTTAAATAGTGAGACGACTATACTAAGCAATTGGGGATATAGAAAGAACCTAAAAATTTGGTCGTTACTCGTAATGGAGACAATAAATTAAATTTCAAAAACAATTCCCCGTTTATATCGGTCGTCATCACTCCTTGGCCGCACATGTAGCTTTATTAATACATACACAACAAACAACAAATATTAGTAAAATATATCAAAAAAAATTAATCAAGGCGAAAACTTTACGCCAATGATTATATGATGCTCACAGATCATGTGAAGTTACATAGCCAAACACACATAAAGATATGATTTAATTGAAAAATATGTTATAGTAATCACTAGATATACAAATTATTCATGCTTGCATGTGCGTTCATATAGACTATGGGAAACTGAAAAATATGAGGGGTTTCATGTTAACTAAAAAAAACAAAGATGATTAAATGAATTAACAGATCATATCGTTGACAAAAACTTAACAGGTCATATTGCCTCTAATGATTTACTATTAGTTATATAAGATGTAACAATCTTCTATCCATCATTACTCTTAGC